GACACAGTCTCCTGTCATCATTACTTCCAAAGAAACGGCAAGGAAAACAAAAGACACAATCACGCTCCACAGAATACTCCATCCAAGGATATAAGCTATACCAGCTGGGCTGAAAAGACCTCTTAACATTACCAGATGTGTGAGATGGGTACACTACTGCATCTTCAGGCTGGGCTGGCTTGTCGTTCTTTGTCTTTGCTATATCTCGTGGTAGAGCTTGTGATGAAGATGCAGAGGGCAAAGATGCTGGTCCAGTATTGACAACAAGAGTAGTGGTGATAGTAGTAGACGTAGTAGTAGTAGTAGGGGGAAGAGAAGGTGAAGGAGGAGAAAAAGTAGAAGACGAAGCAGCAGCTGATTGAGTTACATTGGACTCAAGTGATTGTGAGTTGTCTTCAGCTGATGCAGTTACAAGAGATTGGTCTATTGAAAGTAAGAATTACAGTAACAACACTTATAACAGTATGCATATGTAATATTTTTGTATCTCTATACAGATGATTGTTACTACTTACTAGGTTCACTGTTGCTCCTTTTGGAAGGCTTGCTGACAAATGAAAGCAATGATGCTTGTCTTTTAGCCATGACTTTATCAGAGAATTGAGTTGCAACAGAGATCAAAGATGATAATACTAGAAGAACAAGGACTCAAGCTTGCTGTAGTTCAAGTGAATGTGTCTCTGTAGTGCTCACTGTGATTGGTCCATGCAGCTATAGCATCTCCTCCTCTGTCTCAGCTTATATTATCACTTTGCTGAGCAAATTGCAAGGAATTTTGATTGTTTCTAATGATTTTTATTAATAAAATTAATTTCTAATAATAGTTAATTAACTATATAATAACTACTAAATAACTATTAATTAACTTTTAATTATGATGATGTCATCTTCCGGTAAGAAATTCTATACTATGTCCCAACTGAGAATGGACCGGAAGTGGAAGCAGCTGCATTGGAATTTGAAAAATGTATCTACGTCACTAATGACGTACTATAATGATATTCATAGAGACATGGCCGATATTTCGGCTGTGTTGTTTCACTCTTAAAACAGTCTTGTTCTTCCTGATAAGCAGTACAATAGCTGCTGGAGTCAACTAGTCTTCATAAAGGCCATCATTATCAGAAAATCTTGCTCTATTAGCATTTTAAAAGAAGAATTATCAGTTTGGGCGCTCGACCACATGTGCTTATGTAAACTATGACATCATAAAACGTCATTGCGGTTAGCTTTGGTATGCCATTGGGTTTATAGGGAGAACCCGGTTCTCAGGGTTCCCAAGGGTTGAGAGACCCAAGACCTGAGATCCTGAAGCGGCATGGGCAACTAAGAACCT